TTCACCTTCGTCTTCATATTTATCTTTTCCTTTATCCTGATCTATATCTTCATTCTTTTCTCCATTTACGTATTTACCCCCACCATTGTTATTAGGTTAGGTAGTTAAATTTTCCTTCCTCTTTTTCTTTACATTGTTTCTTTAGTGATATCATGTCATGTGTTGAAATTGGGTGTGATGAGTTGCAGTGTGGTGGAATTGGGTGTGGGAGTTACGGTGTTATGAATTCAGGTGTGGTGGTCTTAAGAGGTGTGGTGAATTTAGTTGTGGTGAGTTGAGGTGTGGTGAATTAAGGTGTGGTGAGTGAAGATTTGGTGAGAAAGTTGAGGTGTGGTGAAATAAGGTGTGGTGAGTTAAGATGTGGTGAGAAAGTTGGGGTGTGGTGAGTTAAGGTGTGGTGAATTAAAGTGTGGTGGATTTAGGTGTGGTGAATTAAGGTGTGGTGAATTTAGGTGTGGGGAGTGAAGTAGTGGTGGATTTAGGTGTGGGGAGTTAAGGTGTGGTGAATTAATGTGTAGCGAACTCAGGTGGAGTAAGTTTTTAAGCGGAGGTGAGATGAGTTGAGGTGAGTTAAGTTAAGTTAAGGGGTTAAGTTAAGATAAGTTATCTTTATCCTTATCTTCATATTCATCTTCATCTTCTTCCTCGTCTTGGTCTTCATCTTCTTCTTCATCTTTATCCTTTCCTTTATCCTGATCTAAATATGTCCATTCTTTTCTTCATTTACATATTCACCCCCACCATTGTTATTAGGTTAGGTATTTAAATTTTCCTTCCTCTTTGTCTTTATATTTAGGTTTCTTTACTTTTATTTTAATTTCTGTATTTATCCCTTTCTTCTTCTCCATACTCAAAATTATCTCATCCTTGTTTGAGGCTAATCTATTCATGTACATACATACATACATCTTATTCCTAAACTGCTGCTTAGCACGTTTCTTTAATTCACTATCAATATTAAAGCATACATTTAGGAGGCATTTCCGCCCCAACCATGTACATGTATGGCATTGGTATTGGTGTGACTTTTGAATTGATTTTTTCGCTCTATTTTATACTAATTTGAAGTTTCAAAAATTGCCTGCACATCAGCAATAAAATACCTTTCTAATGATATATAATTGTTTATACCTTAGAAGTACAGTTTAGCCGTAAAAGGGGTGTAAAGGAAACATGATTGCCTATTTATATAATTGATTTACCTTTTTTTACCTTTTTTCTTTCAGCTGTCCTGCTTAAGAAGTGCACCTTCTTTTATGAATTAGAAGAAATTTTCGGCCACAGACTTGTTGAATCAGCAGTCATAGAAGAAAGTTTGGAGAGTCTACTAAACAGCGATAACGCATATTCACCGGAAGCAGGTTTAGATGAAACAGCGACATCTTTAATAACTGAAAATTTACCTGAAATGATTACTGAAAACGAACCAGTTGCTTCAACGAGCCGCAAGGGCATATATTCAAGAACCGTAGTTTCCGACATTTTACAATTTCAGTCAGAACTGGTACAGCTAAAAAAGCATAAAATAGACCAGGACATGATTTTGAGGGAGAAGGAGATACAGATTAGGGAATTAGTGCTAAAAGAAAGGGAAATAGAACTAAAAGAAAAGCAAGAATTGATACTCAAGGATAAGGAAATGGAAATGAAATTAACAGAACTCAATAGCCAAGAAAAAATCAAAATTATGGAATTAGAAATGAAGGAAAGATTGGCGATGGAGGAATTTAAGCGTAAATATAAATAAGACCGAACAAACTTTCTGAAAAAGTGCACAAGTATAAAGTTAAAAAAAAAGAAAAGTTAATGTTATAATAACCAGATAAATAGTGGGCGTGTAGATTTTTTTTGCGATAGAATAAGCAACAGTTCCTTTTTTTAACTCTTTATTTTTTAATTAAAAAAAAAGAAAAAACATTTCTATGTTTTAATAGTTAAAAAAACCTTAAAGTACAAATATACATATGTTTTTAAAACGAAGTATTAAATTGTTGCCTCATTTTGTATAAAGTGGAGAAGGTTATTTCTAGTATTGCTTCCTGGTGGTAAATTACATTGCGATGGGTCAACTTCATGATGACCTTCATTTTCAAATTTCAAATTTATCAGCATGTTATGGAGGATGCAGCACACCATGATCCAATCGTTGCAGTTTTTCTTGTTTTGTTTAGAATGCATTCGGAATTTTAATTCTTTCAAACTACCGAATTTCTCCTTTAAAATACCGAAACAATTTTCAATTCGCACACGGTATTTTGAAAAGTATTTGTTGAACATTTCTCTTTCTTCCGGAGTATGCTCCGTGCTATTTTGCCTGAACGGTGTTATTAAGATATGTCTGAGTGGATAGGCACTATCGCCAGCAATCCACTCAGAGCTTGACAGAAAACGTTCAGGATGCTTCGCAAGGAGACAATTTAAAAATATTTTTGCATCATGAACGCTCCCAGGATATCCTATAGTGACTTGTCTAATTCGTAATTTGTAGTCACATATAGCCTGCATTTTCACAGCATATTGGCGTTTACGTGAGAAAAAAAGTTCATGCTTCTTGATGGGGGCTTCAGCTAATCTTATTTCGGAACCATCGATGTATCCTACGCATCCTGGCATTTCTTGTTTTGTTGTGTAAATAAGTTTCAGCCTTTCTCTCTGATTTGGCCAATATATAAATTTCTTCTTTAACCTCAGTATAGCTTTGAATACACGCCTGGTAACATTTTGAATAGTGCCCCCATCGCCTATTCCAAACAGAGAGGCAACCTTGCGTATGGATACCCCATCTCCTTGAGATCCTAGTCTATATAGCACTATTTTTAGTTGCAAATCTATAGGAATCTGTGCTACGCTACGACTTGTATGAAAGACAGGATCGTCTTTTATACAATCCAAGATGTATTTGAATTCGTCTGGACGAACACGAACCATTTCGTTGAACCTATTTTCATCAAAATTTGCAAGTACGTTATGCTGCCAATCGGATGATTTTGGTATTCCAAAGTGTACACTTCTACGGCTGTTTAATAAGCATAGCATACTCGGCGAAAAAATTTCATTAAGATCATCTGCGTCTTCTTCGTCGCCTTTATAAAAGTTGTATATATGTAGTAAAAACAAACATTTTAAATAATAAACTCAACTTACTTGAGTCAAGGAATATCAGGTTTAATGCTTGATTTTTGCAAAGGGCGTCGATTATTTTATGTTTTCCACTCTGCTTTGGCATTTTGGCTGTGAAATATTTTTTATTTATTTAAACAGCTGATTAGGAAGTATTTATTACATTATAGTTATAAAGGGGTGTTCACAACTGTGATAATTTTCTAATATTTCCTTACGACTTATAACTTTAAGAGACTATTGTGAATCCCCTAACTGTATCTTTGAACGTAAGAAGCGCTTCTTCTTTACGTAAATTCAATCAACTCAGAAGCTTTATTAGTGAACTGTATAAACTTCCAGATATAAAGCGACCCAAGAAACATGGTTTGCTAGTTGTACAGCCAGCATTTATGTAATTCCAGGTTTTAATAGCGTACACTCTTGTAGAACGGATGGCTTTGGTGGGACGTCGATTTACATTAGATCAAATTTGAACTACGCAGTTAATAGAGCATTTAGTGAAAACTACGTAAACTACATATCTATTACACTCAACGAAGTTAAGGTTGAGGCAAACCACTTTGTTTTGTTTCGATGTATAGATCACAAAAATGTTCTGATAAAACGTTTATCAAAATTGTTTGGGATTTGTTATCGACTAACACAAACAACGCTTCCGTTTATGTTGTTATATTAATATTATATTATATGTTATATGTTATATTATATATTAATTTGCTAAATGCTGGTTCCTCTTCCATGTCTTTGACTAATCTGCTCAGTATGTATGGGTTTCACAACCGTCACAAGTTACCCTGCAGGGAAAGCTACTAGTTGTGAACTAGAATTCTACCAGTTTGCTTTTCAGCCCAACTAGTTCACGATCTATCCTTTTTCAATGTTAGCGACTGCTATTTTTAACATTGCGATGTCCTACGAGATGTCAATTGTCAGGCTATGCACCAGCATCTACTAGTAGAAATACTAGTAGCATCATACCAGTTGATGAGATAGTCTGCCAATTCATGCCCCGTGAAAAGCATAAGTGTGCCTTTTTGCTCGCGACGCTCCAGAAGTCACAAAGGCCGACAGAGCAATGCACTCGCGTGGTAAGCCTGAGGACCCAGATTCAAATCCTGGCGCAGGGAAAATTTTTTTATTTTTTATTTTATTTTAATTTTTTCTAAATTTATTTTTTGTTTAGGCTGTTTTATGTAATTTTTAAATTTAATAAAAAAAAATATTTTTGTTTAATTTCTTTGTTTTTATAGCACAATCATTCTTCCTAAATGTTTTTTTGCAATGCAATTAGATTTTCAAATTTGTTATTTATTTATAAATTGAATAAATTATTTTTACTTACATTTATTTAACTTAAAAATCCTTAACCACCTCCAAGCGGCCTCGAACCTGCGATTTCAGAACCAGAGCCAGTAGTCTTCACGTGACGCCACAGCCGACATTTGTAACAAAAGCAATTAATTGCGTTTAATTTTTGGCTTTGGCAAGTCAAAGGCAGATGTCGCTGGTCGCCTAAGTTCTTCGAAATTGGCGAACTGGTAGGCACATCCTAGTTAATGAACTAGTATTTTTTCAAACTGGTTTGGCTTTTCACTGCAGGGTTAGTTACACGTCCGGCAAGTGGAGCATCAATTGACAATATCTTTAGTAATATAACAAAAGAACTCCCTGTGGATTCTATTGAATGTGAGTTGTCAGATCATAATTTATTATGCTGTAAACTAAAACTTGAGTATAGAGTAAATCATTATTTAGAGAAGATCACTTATCATGTTGATTATGAACGTTTAAGAAAAAAGTTTCATGAAAAGAAAAGATGTTATGACACAGTGGATCCATCTCTCTTAACGGGATTTTTTCTAGGTGCCATTTCCAGTGCATTAGAATCCAGTATGACTGAAGTAAGGCATAAAAAATCCTTGCGCTATGAGATTACACCTTGGGTTAATAAAAATGTCCAGTCCCTACTTAAATTAAAAGGCATTTGAAAATTTGAAGACTAGGAGGAAGTCCCCCTTGGAAAAAAGCTTTAAAGTAAGATTGAAAAGAATAAGTGTGATGAATAATTATTATGCTTCTAACCTAGAAAAGTTTAGTTGGGATTCAAAACGTACATGGGGTTTTCTTAACACGATTTTGGGAAGGAAAAAGAAAGGCTCTTTGGTATTTAAAGATTGTATTTCGCTCACAAATAAGATCTGCTTCATTTGAAATTTGGCAGCACTATACATAGCATAACTTTGTTATCGACTACTCGATCAGCCGTTTATTTAGTGTGCTGATATTGCTATCGTTGTTTTTTATTGCAGTTAATTTTCATATGCGTAACTTTAAAAATAAGTGATGTAGAGAGCAAAGAACTTCAGCAAAGAAAATAGATTTTGGACTACTTCATGCAAAATCCACACATCTCCCAATGTCGTTAGTAAAATTGCTGAAAATTGGAAGGTCGACGGAACAGAATGTATTGTCAAATATCAAGAAAAATTGCAGCATTGGGAGAAAGGCGGAATCTGGCGGAAAATCAGGCACTATAAATAAAATAGTGGAGAAGGATGTTCCAAGGACTTTGAAAAGGAATCCGAATCTCTCTGAACGTGTTGTTGCAGCTGGAGTGTTGTTCTGAGAGACTGTATTGTTTTGGCGTGATTTGGCAACAAGACATTGTGCGAAAAAAGCGCAAGAGTTTAATACACAAAATGGAATCAACATTGTACTAAAAGAGGCCAATCCTCCGAATTGCCCAGAGCTCCAAACTATCGAGCGTTATTGGGCTTTGGAAAACACAATCGTCCACATTGAATATTTGGAGTTAACTTTGACGGTTGTTTGATCACCAATAGAAAATCGAAAAAAAATATTCAAAATCAAGTTTTTGTGCTTCAATTTGTTTTCTGCGAATGTCTGCTTCATGATATTAACGCATACGAATTACTTAGAGACTTCAAAATGTTTAGTTTGTATGCACTATTTATCTCTGTTCTGTTGACGGTGTTACGAATTTTTTTCATACAAAGTAAGTATTTTCGACAATTTTTTTAAAGAGAAGCAAATGAGTAGCACTTTCCACTCGCACTTTATTATACTTAATTTTAATGAGCTACAAAACTTCAAACAAAATTTTTTTTCTAAAGATTCTAATTGAAAAGATTGAAATTTTGGCGAAATATTGCAGAATTAGTTTTTTGCACAAAGTTGCATTTGCTATTACAGTGGAATCTCCCATAAGCGGACACTGAAGGGACCAGAACCTCCGTCCGGTTAATGGAGCCGTCCGCTTAATAGATTGTCCTTAACAAAAATTATAACGTACATACATAATTACATATCTGTGTTCGTATGGAAAAGTAGCTTATCGAAAGGCTGGCTTTAGTATAAATCGGCATTCGCAGCATTGCAAATGACTCGCTGGCGCTGTGCACAACTTTTGGCAAATAAACGTGCAAAAAATAGTTCCGATACTAGCAAGTCAATATTTTTATTAAGTCTCATCAAAAAATTCCTTGTTATATAAATAATAAAGGGAATGCCGCATTATACTAAAGCCAGCCTTTCGACATAAGCTACTGTTCCATACGAACACAGATATAAAGCATAGTTCTCTCAAAATCGGTACGCATGAAATGGGTTATATCTTTTTAATAAGTTTTCAGAAAATAATATTTAATATGTTGAAATAAAGGGAAAACTTTCCGTTATAGATACATGTTAGCGAAAGTTTCATATTT